CATGTCCTTAGTTAACGAGTCTGTCAAATCACCAAACTCACATTCAGAACTGCGTTTCTTTAGCTCAGTGATGAAGTCGTTAAAGCATTGACCTTCAACTTGCTTGTACGAGAAAAATTTGTGACGCAGGATGGTAATATTCTTGCGAGGGTTGCAATACGAAGTGAACTTCTCTAAGACAGGCTTTAATTTGAGTTTATCAGTGTCTTGCTCAAATGTGAAAGTTTCATAAATATCTCTACCTTTCGGTCCGATGCACGTAAGTAGAATGGATGTCTTGATCTTATCACTTTTTGAGTCTGATTCAGTGGCAGTAAGAAAGAACTGAAAGTGTTTTTGCCATGTTTTCCATCCGTGAGACACATTTCCTTCGAAGGAAAATGGAGGAGGCGGTCTGAGTTTGTCCATGTAGAATCGAACGAAATAGATAACCAAACAGTTCAAATCGGAGCGTGATATACTGAGAAATAAATCTGCTGTTCGCAAAAAAAATTTGATATACTATCGAGCGGTTATGACATTAAAATCCCACTATTTGACACCATGTAATATACGCGTGTTGACAACAACCAGAAGCTTTTTTATTTGGCGCCAAGATACGCACTAACATTAAATAACATACACTAAAAGGAGATTAGGCAATAACATAACACCCATGGCTCGGCCTGACTGATTTAAACGTTACGCAAACCAGAGGCTCAGGATTCTTCTTCTCAAGTTTATGGGGCCCGGCGAACAATCTTGCTGACGAACTATCGAGTCCTAACATGTATCGGCAATTCCACGTTTGCTCCTTGAACAAAACGTTTGTGCCTGGCAATAGCGTCTTTTATTTTTTTCTGGAGCGGTTGCGATACCAACTCAATTGTGAACACGTCATGCAGACTGAACCCGGCTACAAAATTTTTCTTCAAATTATACGACATGGATTTACTAAACGTTGGGGCGAGGCAGTGTATTCCAGCTTGGTTATTTTCGATGGTTTGGACAAACTCCAAGATTCTTCTGTAAATCTTAAAACGGTTGGCCCGTATGATCGACGTGTTTATACGTTTTCCAAATCGTCAATATTATTTGACTTCTTTAAACGCCGTGAAAAGAATGCCGCTTTCAATTTTTTTGTTTATACTGTTAAAGGTGAGCATTAATAATTGGAACGATGCAAACTACCACCCGTGTCACATATTATCAACGGGTGAAACCCATAAATATCAATTGACAAATGCGGGTCAGACCCATGTTAGATGATCATCTAGGTCATTTGAAACAAGGTTCATGACAGTGCTGGGACAGGCAGCCAATCAAAATTGCTGTTGCTTGGAATTGCTGTTGCATGCACGCAATTTGCGCCAATTGTATTTCTGTGTTCGAAGTGAAGTCTTATACAAACGAAATTCAATATTTTAAACTATGGAGTCATCTGCACGAAAGCGCAGTCGTATTGCTGATGACCAACGTTGTATTTTGGGGAAATTTTTCGACGAGGGGATGGTTGGAACTGGCTCTAAATATAAAGATAAGGGTCATACTAAATACCGACAAGAACCGACAAGAACCGACAAAAACCGACAAAAACCGACAAGAAGCACAGAAATACCGACAAGAACCGACAAGAAGCTGAGAAATACCGACAAGAACCGACAAGAAGCAGAGAATTACCGACAAGAACTCCGACCAAAAATTATACTAAGGACAGACAAAAACCGACAAAAATACAGATAGTGTGTGCTGAACGTGGACATTTTTTGTATTATACTATTATTAGAGACACGCACAAATTTAGTGTTTTGAAAGATCGTTACTAAAACCCGGTCTCACGTCAAATTCGTGAAGATTGTAAAATCGTAAAAAGCTTTATAATAATACATGAAATAAAAGTTTTATAATATATAATACAAAACAGGTCTAATACAAAATATGTGGTAACATGATTATGAAACCGATCAAGCTGAACTAATCACGCACAGGTGTTAAGTGAATGTGGCTGTTTTTACAATAACAAGAATTCGCTAAGATCAAAATTTTTCAGTTATTTACCGAACCCAAATCTTTGTTCTAGGCAGTGAACGACGTAGGTACACTTATGTTAGAAACAAGTTATTGGCTAAATTCGCAAATTAAAGCAGTTTTTAGCTGAAATGTTTTTGTAAAATAGTTAAAAAATAGAAAGTTTGAGATTAAGTGATTAGCAAGGTCCCTAACCGACAAGAAGCAGAGAAATACAAGAACTTCGACAAAAATTTATTTTAAGGACAGACAAAAACTGACAAAAATACAGATAGTGTGTGCTGAACGTGGATACTATTAGATACTATTATTAGAGACACGCACAAAGTTATTGTCTTGAAAAATCGTTACTAAAATCCGTCACGTCAAATTCCGAAAAACAACATTGTGAAGATTGTAAAATCGTGAAAAGCTTTATGATACATGAAATAAAAGTTGCATAATAATTAATACGAAAGAGTTCTAATAAAAAATATGTGGTAACATGATTATGAAACCGATCAAGCTGAACTAATCACGCACAGGTGTTGATTGAATGTGGCTGTTTTTACAATAACAAAAATTCGCTAAGATCAAAATTTTTCGGTTATTTACCGAACCCAGATATTTATTCTTGGCGGTGCCCAATCTTAGAAACAAGTTATTGGCTAATTCACAAACGAAAGCAGTTTCTCGCTGAAATGTTTTTGTAAAATAATTTAAAAAAAATTAGAAAGTTCACAGTTGAAATTGTCATCAGTTTGAGTTTAACAACGCAGCGTCAATCTTTATCTTCTGTTGTTTTCCTATTTTAATTATATCATATTTTACAGTTAAATCATTTTTCCAGTCAAAAGTAAATTCTGTGTTATAATCTGACTAGCTGTTACATGCGAAGTTTTCAAACAACACATGAGTCATAGCACAAGAATGTGCTCATTAGCATGACATTAGGTACCCATGGTATTCAGGAACACCGTATCCAGTGTTAATTCTTTTCGTCTTTGACAAGTCTCTCTATCGAGCTATCCAAATTCAGTGAAGAAAATCTAAGATTTATTTCAACAATGAGTGAAAGAAAACAACCACGTGCCAGCCGCACCGGTGTAAAGAGAACCGCTTCCAGATGGCCGTGTATCAAATGTAAAAAGCAATGCGTTACCGACGCTATTTTTTGCGAGCACTGTTGTGAGTGGGCTCACTATGCTTGCGAAAATATCTGCAAAGGCGAATTTAAAGAGCTTTCGAACGTCTCATGTGCGTACGTTTGCTCAAGATGTCGCGTTGATCGGAGGGGTCAGTTCGACTTCGAGAGATCACTGGAAAGGTTGAGCGATGCCAGCAGAACCATGGTTGGTCTTCACAAAGCAGCAATCCTGGAAAATATTTTGCTAAAGAATCACCAATTTCATTTACCGGCGGACGAACCAGCTTTAACAGCCAAGCATACGATCCATCAGTACTCACAATCAGTGGTGAACTTTTGTGGAGGAATACCATCACGGGTACCAATCCATGTTAAAGGTGACGGAAACTGTCTATTTAACGCTGTATCTGTAGCTATTCAAGGAAATGAAGCGATGTCTTGCGAACTAAGAGTCCGAACCTGCTTGGAGCTAGTTCTGAACTTTGAACATTACAAGGCCCACCTTAATTATGCGAGTTTTCGTCTCGTGTCTTCTGATATCGTGAAAGCTTGCCAAGATTGTGCTCGGGATGGAAGCTATTCGTCAATCTTTACGATACAAGGACTTTCATCCGTGATTGGACGAGAGATCGTGTCCGTGTACCCAGCAATGAATCGGGCATGCTAGATAAATCCTTGCCAATTTTGAATACCGTCATCACACCAAGAGTCCCACCGTCCAGAAATACAAGCCGGGGTAGAGTGTACGTGCTCTGGAGCAGAATGTGCGGAACCTGCCCTCATCCACGTGATCAGATCTGGCTTCCAAACCACTTCGTCCCTTTGATCGAGGAATATCGCTCCACGTCCAATGTGAAGACATCTTCCCCTGTCAGCGTAAGTAGTCCTTCACCGCAATTTGTCGTGTCACCTTTAAACGATCCTACCTCGGTTGAAAACCACCTTTCTCTCAACACTCCACCATTCAATGTGTCTCCCGCGGAGGATGACACCGGGAGTCAAATCGACCTTTCACCACCTGACAGCTACATGTTGTTCTCAGATGCGGAGACAGAGGAACCTGCAACCAATCCAGTACACGAACAACCTAATGAATCCATGCCCAACAAGGAGGACACATTCCCGCCTGACTCAATGCCTGAAAGTCCGTTAACAGCAAGTTAAACGGACACTCAACCGAAGGAACATTCAAACTCATTGCCAGACTACTCTGAAGAAGAAAACTGTGCTCCGTTTAACAATAAGTTAAATGGACGCTTTCTGGACGTAGAATCTTTATTTGAACACCTGCAGAATGGAACTGATGTAAAGTCTTCAATCCCGCAAGGTCTGAAAGAAGACGTATATTTCCTGAAGAATTACTTAGAATTCATGTTTATAGCAACTATGCCCTGAAGAAAATACTATACCCATTAAAAACTAACCCCTGAGGAATTCCGGGTTAAAAATGCCACCTTACCCCTGCAGAATTCCGAGGTCCTCAACAGGGGGGTATGCATATTTACTAGAAATGCAATAGCCCATTTGATTTGTAGATCCCTACTTGCCCTACCTGTTCTTTCCAATGCTTGTTCCTTCGTAAAATTGATGATTACCTCACTATGAACCTTAAAATTAATTGCTCAATAATATTTTCCTTGAATATTTTGTCCATTCCGTACTTATGACGGTATTTGCTTGCTTTCTGTCGGTTCTTGTCGGTATTTCTAAGCTTCTTGTCGGTTTTTGTCGGTTCTTGTCGGTTCTTGTCGGTTTTTGTCGGTTCTTGTCGGTATTTAGTATGAAACAAGGTTCATGACAGTGCTGGGACAGGCAGCCAATCAAAATTGCTGTTGCTTGGAATTGCTGTTGCATGCACGCAATTTGCGCCATATTGTAATTTCTGTGTTCGAAGTGAAGTCTTATACAAACGAAATTCAATATTTTAAACTATGGAGTCATCTGCACGAAAGCGCAGTCGTATTGCTGATGACCAACGTTGTATTTTGGGGAAATTTTTCGACGAGGGGATGGTTGGAACTGGCTCTAAATATAAAGATAAAGTGGATAATGCAGTCATGCAGGCAGGACTAACAAACAAAATCGCAGGTCGAGGTAAATAACAATATTTTCAATTACCACAGTGTATATTGGGATACAAGTCCAATTCGCAACTATACTACGAGCTCCGTCTTTATGTGTTATTATAACGGTTCAATTAATGCTGGGAAACTTAGTTTTATCCTTATATTTGAACATTTAAATCGTTTTCATACTCCAGGATGAGAATCGTATACGACTATATTCGCATCGTGTAGATAAGAGGACATTTAGGACTTAAAATATCCACATGGTAGTGCTACTAGTGCATGACAGCTTTAAATCAACGTTTAGCCAAAATTAATGGGTTTGTTTAGTTTAGGAGCCTCTAAATGGCAGTGTTTTCCCCTTTCCTGGTGATGTGTCCATTCCTCCTTGATGTTGGTAAACTGTTGTCTAGGCTATAAGGACAGGTCTTTTACTTCACAGTGGGAAGGACTGGTGCAATTAAATAAAGTATACTATGCTCAATTTTTTCTGACCCTTTCCTGAAAGTGATTCATTTTTTTTATGACCCATCCTCCTGGGCTACAACAGAGTTTATTAAGTATAGTACATCTAAACTGTGTTACCTTCCTCACACATTTAGTATATAAATAGGTAAGTTTCCAGGCTCTTGTCACCACTTTCCTCATCACATATTGAGATATATACCATTCTCAACCAGACCATGAATGTCCAGGTTCCAAAAACAGCCTGGCAGGTGCATTTCTAGCTTGCTAGAATGCATTGAAAGTCTGTAGAGTTAACACCTTGGAAGCCTTTTTTTATTTGCATGAATATTAGTGACCCACCATCTTCTTGTACTAGCCTCCCCCCTCTAAATTTAATGGTCCCTAATTTAAAGAGCAATTAAATATGCAAGATTTTGAAATCAATTTGACATATATGGATTATTGAAACCCAAAAATACATACAGTATTTATATAAGTGGTAAAATATCAGCCCAGGCTTGCATTAGGAAAATATTTATGAAATATATAACATCAATATGAAGCATGCTGCTCTGATTGGTCGAAACCGATGTTTGAATCAGGCCTTCCAAACACCAAAACCATAAAGTTATAGGAAACCATGCATTGTAAATTAATTTTTACATAGTGTGGAACAGACTTTAACTAGTACTGTGTAGTAGAGACTAAAAATACACATTGTCAATGCTATTGTTTTTATCTGCATAGCTTATCATTTTTGTTTGTGGATATTTTATTGGACTATCCAGTATTAAATCTTATTTTGCTAGACTTTTATCAAGGTCTTCTAGGAGAAATCAAACTTATGCCACTTGCATTATGTTTTGAGCATTAAATAAAATTACCAGGAAAGCAGCAAGTTCCTTTCACAACAAATCTTTGTATTATGGTACCTTTTCTACATGATCACTGTTTTACGTACCAAATGGTGTTATAGACTGTAAGCACTGTGCAACTGTTTTTAAATTGCAGGTGTGGATTGGCAATCAGAAACGAAATTCAAAAAGACTGAAAGGGGGAATGACATCTTCTGATGCTGAACAACTGCAGTATTATTGAAAAGAGCTAAAAGTATACAAGGGCCAAATGCATATAACTTGTTTTGCAGTAACGTTTTCAAATCAGGTATTTTTCAAATCAAGATTACATAGTGCATGACCTGTTGGAATATACTGTATACATGCAACACACCTCGTAGGGCTCAAAGTCATGCATTGCCTCTTAATGGGTTAATGATCAGGGACGGATTCAATGATTGCACAGTACATTCAGTAAATCCAGCTTTAAAGTATATATTTTGTTGTATATTGCTTGATGCCTCTTTCTTAATCTATCACCTTTTTACCAGGTACCTTTTGGTGTAGTTTAATAATTTAAAGTACTAAACATTTATTAAAAGATTGTTTTGTGTCTTGCAGATGAGTGCAAAGGATTATCGCACTCCGAAAAGAACAAGCCTGCTGCAGAAAAATGGTCACGTCAAAACAGTGATGAGAAAGAGAAGTACCGGGAAACTGCAAAGGCAATAAATTGTGTGAAAATTGATAAATTGGATGAGGTTCAAAAGAGGAAAACTTTTGAAAGACATATTAAAAAACTTCAGGAAGAGGTACTAAATAAGTGTATACTATAAGTGGTTGTAACATCTTACCATTTCAAACAATATCAATGAAATAGAAATTTGCAACTCAGCAAGAAACATCATCATCAAGCACCATTATTAATGAATATTAAATTTCTTTCAGCTGTTTTCCTAGTCTAAAGAAACCAATTCTAGCATCTGTTGTAAATCTATAATCATTAATCTTCCTAACTTTGTGTTATTATTTAATTTATTTTACTACATTTTGTTTCAATGATGTTTATTCCAGATTATTGTGCTTGGAGATCTGGGATGCCAAATTTCATCATTGATGGTAGACAACATGGGAGTAGTTTTCCAAATTGGATCAAATCAAGGAAACCAGTTCTTGTCATGCAATCCTGAAATTGGCATTAAATTTCGAGAATACTTTGGTAATAAGTTAAAGAAAATTTTAGTGTGTTGTACAGTATGTTGTTGCTGAAAATATTCTAGAGATAGGATTAGGATTGTATTTGCTTTAGAAAAGGGTTGGCAAGAGAAATACATTATGCAAAAAAATATTGTTTGATTACTTTGATACCACATTACTGTGGATGAAGAACTAATGTTTTTCATGAGAGGTTGAAGAAACGGTGACAACTTGGGACATATCACTGATTGACTGATCTTAACACTGTGTTAATAATGAAGGGAAAATTCTGTGTTTTATGAGGGAATTGCTGTGTGCAAATAGAAAAAACTGATATATGTGCGAAATATAATTTTTTGTGCTTTAAATGAATATAAAATTGTTTTTAAGTACCATAAGCCTTTCTGTGATTGAATGAAAGCGGAAATATTTTGAGTGCCGGTATTGTCTGAAACCTAAAGAAACAGTCAGTATTTCTAACCTAGCAAGATACTGTCAAGCACAATATGGTTCGTGGGCCTTTATTTTGGTTCCTTTGTAGTACTCGTCAAAAGTTGGACAAAAAAAGAAATCGAAGCACAGATGTGACGGTCCGTCCAATTTTTGCACTTTTCGCAGTCGAATTTCTCTTTTTAGCACGGCTGGCGGCAAAAAAGGTAAAATGAAATGTCTAATCCTGGGGGGAATCCCGAAACATCGAGTTTGGATCCGAGTTCGAGTTCGAGTTGAACTTCGAGTTGAACTTCGAGTTAAATATAAAATTTCGAGTTACCCTAATCAATGAAGCAAAGTAATACACTAATATATACTTGTGTTGTAATCATTTTCGGCATTTCCGGTATTTTCCCAGCTGCTCCGACTCTTGTTTATTTTCTGAAGTTCGGAACAACGTGCCTGAGCCCTGAGTGAAATGGCGCAAAAAGGCATGTAAATTATTGAAAATTAAACATAAATATTTATTTTTCTATTCGTACCCGTTGTCATTGTTTCTAGCTGTTTATGTCCGGTCTAATAGACTAAGTACAGTTACTTAGTTTAAAAGTCCTATACAATCCCAAAGGCAAAGAGGAATAAAATATTTTGCTCTTTTTTAGAGAAATCTTGGGGGGTAGTGCTGTTTATTTATAACTAGTTAGCGTTGCAATGCAACGATTTACCGTTATCGTTACTGAAAAATTTAAGGATTACTTGTAACTAGATACTTTTAATGAAGTAATAGCTAAAGTAGTGGTGTGTGTGTTGGGAGGTTCCTAACCACTATTACAACTATAGTAAAGACCAGTTAAATATATTATTTACAAGATTTCGCATACTGACTATCGCTAGAATGTGTAAAGTTTTCGTGCATGTTCATCTACGAAGAACTCCGTCATCAATATATACTGCACAGTCTACCTTGTAATCGACCTCTGGAGAAATTTCCAAAAAGAACGCGGATTTGTAGATATTTTGGAAATGTGCATTATATATAGAGGTAGCCACTGCAAAGGAAGTGGCGTTTAACGCAGTAATTTTATGATTGTATATTAGCTCTTCTCCTATAAAACAAGAAAAAGCATTCGAAAAAGCAACTCGAAATTTAACTCGAACTCGAACTCGAAATTTAACTCGAACTCGAACTCGAGTCCAAACTCGAGGGTACCTACCTCCCAATCCTGGGCATTGACATTTGCCTTTACTTTAGTTCCTCGCACGCAAGACAAATGTCGGCTCTTTTTCCCCTTTGGTTCGGGTAACATCCCAAACGGCGATAGTAACCATCTGCAAATACCATCTTTTCCCTAAAATGCACGTTGGCTATTTGGTTTACATCGAAATGCTAGTTAGACAAAAAAAATTTTATTCCAATTAATATTTTGTAATGTCCGACGTCGATCGAGCGATGCCAGAATTTTCAATAATCACCCTTGTAATTATACCAATACTGCATATAGCTGAATCCTGAATTGCAATAAGGTTATATATCTCACCTTTGCAAGGAAACATGACCGGTTCCTCCTCATCTGTGATTAGGGTAACTTTTACTAATATGCTACAAGAATATTATAAACTATACCGATCTTGACAAAGCTTACCCCAAAAAATGAAATTTGACACCCGTGTTATGAATTCTAATATTAGGGTAAGTTTCACTAATATGCTACAAGAATTATATAACTATATCGATCTTGACAAACCTTACCCCAAAAATGAAATTTGACACCCGTGTTATGAACTCTAATATTAGGGTAACTTTCACTAACATGGAGATATACTATTGCTTGAGTCAGGATTCAAGGCAGGACTCGAGCCAGGACTCGAGCCAGGACTCGAGTCAAGGACTCGAGTCAAGGACTCGAGTCAAGGACTCGAGTCAAGGACTCGAGTCAAGGACTCGAGTCAATTAACCTTTCTCACGCAATGCGCCAATCCGCCATATTTGGATGACATATAGTTGATTTTATAATAAATCATTTTATGAAATAAAAATTGGGGGTAACATAACTCGTAACCAACAAGTAATTGCTGTCCAAAATATCGGATGCAAATCGTTAATTTTCATTTCTGACCATGGCATGGAGAATAAAAACACATTGTGTTTCTATTATCCATTGTTTTAACTTTCAAATCTTTACGATTTAATGGTGCATGCACCGTAATGGTAAAAGAATTAGCCTTTCTAACGCTATGCGACCAATACAATGTTGCTGACTAACTAGAAGTTTTGCAAAGTTCTGTTTTTGAATTCATTTAGCGATTTTAAAAATTGTGGACTAAAAAAATGGTATCATAAATAATCACATTTAACGAATTCGGAAAAATTCTAGTCTACTTAAAACCTGCCGCACACGAGAGCAACTAGCCGAGCTAATAATCACTCGTGGCTGTTGGCGTAAGCAAATTTTTCTCTTGTGCGGACAAATTTTAAGCGCTTTTGTTCATTCGTGGCACTTTATTCTGGAACGAATGAACAAAAGCGCTTAAAATTTGTCCGCACACGGGAAGAACCATTAAACTGGGAAGAACCCGCTTACGCCAACAGGCACGCGGGAAAGACGGCAATAGAAGTTTCCATCAGCAAGACGTAGATGAGTCATTAAATCGGAGCTTGTCGGCTCGAGTCCTTGGCTCGAGTCCTGACTCGAGTCCTGGCTCGAGTCCTGACTTGAGTCCTGACTTGAATCCTGCCTCGATATTTAGGTACCCTCACTAACATGGTTCAAGAATTTTATAAACTATACCGATCTTGACAAAGCTTACCCCAAAAAATGAAATTTGACACCCGTGTTATGAACTCTAATATTAGGGTAACTTTTACTAATATGCTACAAGAATATTATAAACTATATCGATCTTGACAAAGCTTACCCCAAAAAATGAAATTTGACACCCGTGTTATGAATTCTAATATTAGGGTAAGTTTCACTAATATGCTACAAGAATATTATAAACTATACCGATCTTGACAAACCTTAACCAAAAAAATGAAATTTGACACCCGTGTTATGAACTCTAATATTAGGGTAACTTTTGCTAATATGCTACAAGAATATTATAAACTATATCGATCTTGACAAACCTTTCCCCAAAAAATGAAATTTGACACCCGTGTTAGGAACTCTAATATTAGGGTAACTTTTGCTAATATGCTACAAGAATATTATAAACTATATCGATCTTGACAAACCTTACCCCAAAAAATGAAATTTGACACCCGTGTTATGAATTCTAATATTAGGGTAAGTTTCACTAATATGCTAAAAAAATATATAATAAACTATATCGATCTTGACAAACCTTTCCCCAAAAAATGAAATTTGACACCCGTGTTATGGACTCTAATATTAGGGTAAGTTTCACTAATATGCTACAAGAATATTATAAACTATACCGATCTTGACAAACCTTACCCGGCCCCAAAAAATGTCAAATTTCATTTTTTGGGGTAAGCTTTGTCAAGATCGATATAGTTTATAATATTCTTGTAGTATATTAGCAAAAGTTACCCTAATATTAGAGTTCATAACACGGGTGTCAAATTTCATTTTTCGGGGTAAGGTTTGTCAAGATCGGTATAGTTTATAATATTCTTCTAGCATATTAGTGAAACTTACCCTAATATTAGAATTCATAACACGGGTGTCAAATTTCATTTTTTGGGGTAAGCTTTGTCAAGATCGGTATAGTTTATAAAATTCTTGAACCATGTTAGTGAAAGTTACCCTAATATTAGAGTTCATAACACGGGTGTCAAATTTCATTTTTGGGGTAAGGTTTGTCAAGATCGATATAGTTTATAATATTCTTGTAGCATATTAGTGAAACTTACCCTAATATTAGAATTCATAACACGGGTGTCAAATTTCATTTTTTGGGGTAAGCTTTGTCAAGATCGGTATAGTTTATAATATTCTTGTAGCATATTAGTAAAAGTTACCCTAATCACAGATGAGGAGGAACCGGTCATGTTTCCTTGCAAAGGTGAGATATATAACCTTATTGCAATTCAGGATTCAGCTATATGCAGTATTGGTATAATTACAAGGGTGATTATTGAAAATTCTGGCATCGCTCGATCGACGTCGGACATTACAAAATATTAATTGGAATAAAATTTTTTTTGTCTAACTAGCATTTCGATGTAAACCAAATAGCCAACGTGCATTTTAGGGAAAAGATGGTATTTGCAGATGGTTACTATCGCCGTTTGGGATGTTACCCGAACCAAAGGGGAAAAAGAGCCGACATTTGTCTTGCGTGCGAGGAAACTAAAGTAAAGGCAAATGTCAATGCCCAGGATTGGGAGGTAGGTACCCTCGAGTTTGGACTCGAGTTCGAGTTCGAGTTAAATTTCGAGTTCGAGTTCGAGTTAAATTTCGAGTTGCTTTTTCGAATGCTTTTTCTTGTTTTATAGGAGAAGAGCTAATATACAATCATAAAATTACTGCGTTAAACGCCACTTCCTTTGCAGTGGCTACCTCTATATAATGCACATTTCCAAAATATCTACAAATCCGCGTTCTTTTTGGAAATTTCTCCAGAGGTCGATTACAAGGTAGACTGTGCAGTATATATTGATGACGGAGTTCTTCGTAGATGAACATGCACGAAAAACTTTACACATTCTAGCGATAGTCAGTATGCGAAATCTTGTAAATAATATATTTAACTGGTCTTTACTATAGTTGTAATAGTGGTTAGGAACCTCCCAACACACACACCACTACTTTAGCTATTACTTCATTAAAAGTATCTAGTTACAAGTAATCCTTAAATTTTTCAGTAACGATAACGGTAAATCGTTGCATTGCAACGCTAACTAGTTATAAATAAACAGCACTACCCCCCAAGATTTCTCTAAAAAAGAGCAAAATATTTTATTCCTCTTTGCCTTTGGGATTGTATAGGACTTTTAAACTAAGTAACTGTACTTAGTCTATTAGACCGGACATAAACAGCTAGAAACAATGACAACGGGTACGAATAGAAAATAATAAATATTTATGTTTAATTTTCAATAATTTACATGCCTTTTTTGCGCCATTTCACTCAGGGCTCAGGCACGTTGTTCCGAACTTCAGAAAATAAACAAGAGTCGGAGCAGCTGGGAAAATACCGGAAATGCCGAAAATGATTACAACACAAGTATATATTAGTGTATTACTTTGCTTCATTAGTGATTAGGGTAACTCGAAATTTTATATTTAACTCGAAGTTCAACTCGAAGTTCAACTCGAACTCGAACTCGGATCCAAACTCGATGTTTCGGGATTCCCCCCAGGATTAGACATTTCATTTTACCTTTTTTGCCGCCAGCCGTGCTAAAAAGAGAAATTCGACTGCGAAAAGTGCAAAAATTGGACCGGACCGTCACATCTGTGCTTCGATTTCTTTTTTTGTCCAACTTTTGACGAGTACTACAAAGGAACCAAAATAAAGGCCCACGAACCATATTGTGCTTGACAGTATCTTGCTAGGTTAGAAATACTGACTGTTTCTTTAGGTTTCAGACAATACCGGCACTCAAAAATATTTCCGCTTTCATTCAATCACAGAAAGGCTTATGGTACTTAAAAACAATTTTATATTCATTTAAAGCACAAAAAAATTATATTTCGCACATATATCAGTTTTTTCTATTTGCACACAGCAATTCCCTCATAAAACACAGAATTTTCCCTTCATTATTAACACAGTGTTAAGATCAGTCAATCAGTGATATGTCCCAAGTTGTCACCGTTTCTTCAACCTCTCATGAAAAACATTAGTTCTTCATCCACAGTAATGTGGTATCAAAGTAATCAAACAATATTTTTTTGCATAATGTATTTCTCTTGCCAACCCTTTTCTAAAGCAAATACAATCCTAATCCTATCTCTAGAATATTTTCAGTAGCAACAACATACTGTACAACACACTAAAATTTTCTTTAACTTATTACCAAAGTATTCTCAAAATTTAATGCCAATTTCAGGATTGCATGACAAGAACTGGTTTCCTTGATTCGATCCAATTTGGAAAACTACTCCCATGTTGTCTACCATCAATGATGAAATTTGGCATCCCAGATCTTCAAGCACAATAATCTGGAATAAACATCATTGAAACAAAATGTAGTAAAATAAATTAAATAATAACACAAAAGGTTAGGAAGATTAATGATTGTAGATTTACAACAGATGCTAGAATCGGTTTCTTTAAACTAGGAAAACAGCTGAAAGAAATTTAATATTCATTAATAATGGTGCTTGATGATGATGTTTCTTGCTGAGTTGCAAATTTCTATTTCATTGATATTGTTTGAAATGGTAAGATGTTACAACTACTTATAGTATACACTTATTTAGTACCTCTTCCTGAAGTTTTTTAATATGTCTTTCAATAATTTTCCTCTTTTGAACCTCATCCAATTGATCGATTTTCACACAATTTATTGCCTTTGCAGTTTCTCGGTACTTTTCTTTCTGATCACTGTTTTGATGTGACCATTTTTCTGCAGCAAGCTTGTTCTTTTCGGAGTGCGATAATCCTTTGCACTCATCTGCAAGACACAAAACAATATTTTAATAAATGTTTAGTACTTTAAATTATTAAACTATGTACACCAAAAGGTACCTGGTAAAAAGGTGATAGATTAAGAAAGAGGCATCAAGCAATATACAACAAAATATATACTTTAAAGCTGGATTTACTGAATGTACTGTGCAATCATTGAATCCGTCCCTGATCATTAACCCATTAAGAGGCAATGCATGACTGTGAGCTCTACTAGGTGTGTTGCATGTATACAGTATATTCCAACAGGTCATGCACTATGTAATCTTGATTTGAAAAATACCTGATTTGAAAAAGTTACTGCAAAACAAGTTATATGCATTTGGCCCTTGTATACTTTTAGCTCTTTTCAATTGTACTGCAGATTGTTCAGTTTCAGAAGATGTCATTCCCCCTTTTAGTCTTTTTAAATTCCGTTTCTGATTGCCAATCCACACCTGCAATTTAAAAACAGTTGCACAGTGCTTACAGTCTATGACACCATTTGGTATGTAAAACAGTAATCACGTAGAAAAGGTACCATAATACAAAATTGCTGCTTTCCTGGTAATTTTATTTAATGCTCAAAACATAATGCAAGTGGCATAAGTTTGATTCTTCTAGAAGACCTTGATAAAAGTCTGGCAAAATAAGATTTAATACTGGATAGTCTAATAAAACATCCACAAACAAAAATGATAAGGTATGCAGATAAAAACAATAGCATTGACAATGTGAATTTTTAATCTCTACTACACAGTGTTAGTTAAAGTCTGTTCCACACTATGTAAAAATTCATTTACAATACATAGTTTCCTATAACTTTATGGTTTTCGTGTTTGGAAGGCCTGATTCAAACATTGGTTTCAACCAATCAGAACAGCATGCTTTATATTGATGTTATATATTTCATAAATATTTTCCTAATTATGCAAGCCCAGGCTGAATTTTACACTTATAAAATACTGTATGTATTTTTGGGTTTCAATAATCCATACATGTCAAATTGATTTCAAAATCTTGCATATTTAATTGCTCTTTAAATTAGGGACCATTAAATTTAGAGGGGGGAGGCTAGTACAAGAAGATGGTGGGTCACTAATATTCATGCAAATAAAAAAAGGCTTCCAAGGTGTTAACTCTACAGACTTTCAACGCATGCTAGCAAGCTAGAAATGCATCTGCCAGGCTGTTCTTGGAACCTGGACATTCATGTTCTGGTTGAGAATGGTATATATCTCAATATGTGATGAGGAAAGTGGTGACAAAAGCCTGGAAACGTTACCTATTTATATTAAATGTGTCAGGAAGGTAACACAGTTTAGATGTACTATACTTAATAAACTCTGTTGTAGCCCAGGAGGATGGGTCATAAAAAATGAATCACTTTCAGGAAAGGGTCAGAAAAAATTGAGCATAGTATACTTTAATTGCACCAGTCCTTCCCACTGTGTAGTAAAAGACCTGTCCTTATAGCCTAGACAACAGTTTACCAACATCAAGGAGGAAAGGACACATCACCAAGAAAGGGGAAAACACTGCCATTTAAGCTCCTAACTAAACAAACCCATTAATTTTGGGTAAACGTTGATTTAAAGCTGTCATGCACTAGTAGCACTACCATGTGGTATTTTAAGTCCTAAATGTCCTCTTAATCTACACGATGCAATATAGTCGTATACGATTCTCATCCTGAAGTATGAAAACATTAAATGTTCAAATAAAGGATCAAACTAAGTTTCCCAGCATTAATTGAACTGTTATAATAACACATAAAGATGGAGCTCGTAGTATAGTTGCGAATTGGTCTTGTATCCCAATATACACTGTGGGTAATTGAAAATATTGTTATTTACCTCGACCTGCGATTTTGTTGTTAGTCCTGCTGCATGACTGCATTATCCACTTTATCTTTATAATTAGAGCCAGTTCCAACCATCCTCGTCAAAAATTTCCCCAAAATACAACGTGGTCATCAGCAATACGACTGCCCTTTTGTGCAGATGACTCCATAGTTTAAGTATTGAATTACGTTTGTATAAGACTTCACTTCGAACACAGAAATTACAATATGGCGCAAATTGCGTGCATGCAACAGCAATTCCAAGCAACAGCAATTTTGATTGGCTGCCTGTCCCAGCACTGTCATGAACCTTGTTTCAAACAGCGTTCTCACTTTTAAGGAAATTTCCTTAAACTAAGGAAATTTTGATCTTATTTCACCTTTTTAAGGAATTGTTTGAGGAATTTTATTTTTTAATGAATTTCTAAGGAATTCTGAATTTTATCGAAATTATTTACTTTCGTTACAAAAGTCATAAAACTGAACAAAACATGGCAAAAATTAAAAATTGTTACTCCATTCTTACAATGTTTTTTTAACTCTTCTCAACTTCTGTGATCAGTTCGTGAACTTGATTTATATATTGTTTATAACAACGATAATAATAAAACAGCTTTTTACACTAACTAATATAAAACCAAAACAATTTTCCCGCCTTTTTAGTAAACTACACCACTGAACTACACTAGGTCCCAGTCTTCATATCTGGGAACCCGGAGATTTAAGGAAATTTTACTCAATCTGAGGAATTTTTGTCCTTAGTCTAAGGATTTCTAAACAATAGGATGTGAGAGCCCTGGTTTCAAATGACCTAGATGATCATCTAACATGGGTCTGACCCGCATTTGTCAATTGATATTTATGGGTTTCACCCGTTGATAATATGTGACACGGGTGGATTTGAATACAGAAATAAAGACAAACTTACAATCGGACGTAAAATCGTCGGAACCACAAGCTTCGGTTGTGCACTTCTTGCCGACCTCTACAGCAGCTGTTTAGGAACGTTTTGTTAACCGCATATTTTAGCAGCTGTTTAGGAACGTTATTGTTACCAAATATTTTACCCTGGGTATTTCCACAAACATGTACTAAGCTATTACTCTAGAAGAAGCATTTCAGACGTGTACAATATTAATATCTACTAATTTACATGCCAAGTCATGCAAGCATTGTTTTGGTTAAGGCTGCTTTCCACTTACGCGTTTTTTTTACGCACAGCACGTACACGCACGGAAGCCATTTAAAATGCTTCTAAATTTTTATTATTAAGAGGAGATATTTTTCTATGTCGCGTAATATATGCTCAAAACCTCAGTTATATCTTCATGCAAAACTAAAATTTTCAGCATTAAAAATGTTTTGCAAACCTGAAAAGCATCCACAAAGTATTTTTACTTTATAATCTCAAAATATTGTGAAAATGAAAAGATTTCTCGGGATACGCCGAGAAGAAAGTGACACTTGAATCGAAGCTTCTTTTGTATTCATTTCAGTTATAATGGCGCTGACATTATAATATTGTTGATAGCCGCCGCATTATATTTTGTAATAACTCCTTTGTTTGGTGTTTTGCATTCACCAAATACAGTTCAAAACTTAGTTCACAACATAATCTAAAGAATAACGGTAAAATAAATGGATTTTGAGTGGTACGCCGAAAAGATTTTAGGTTTTGAGCGTTTTCCCGCCAAAATACGCGACATAATAAAAAATCTCCTCTTAAAAATCTAGGTCAATAAATGCACACTGGGATATGCAGAGGACTAAGTTCATTCGATTTTTTTACTTAGTTTTTTGAAAGATAACATATATAAGGAATTAGACTTTTATGTTTTATAATATAATTAAGTAAGTTTTTACAGAAATAATAGTAACATGAGAAGTATGGACTTTTATGGTCTTATACGCGCATTAAACCTTGCGCGCAAGTGATGATAGTTGATTGCTCAATGAAACTCGTAGACTTGAAAGTTTGGTTTTGTAAGATCTTCTAAAACAACCTCAAAACAGATAAACTTGCCTCTCGGAGTTTAAAAAAGACTAAAAGGTGACATCGCAAGTTCTCGCGCGGTCATATTTTAGAAATGACAGCTTGAATTACATTAAAATCTCACCAGTCGCCTTCGTAAGGTGTAGATATATAAGGTACATTCATGTGCAAAAGTAGTTTCAAATAATTTTTTACCTATCTTTGAGCCTTATGTTGTTGTGCTTCGATGTGAGATTTCACGCCATTCGTTCGACTATCCTGCTAGCAAACACTTTATTTGTCATTTATATATAAGCATTGATGTCCAGTAATTTGTAGCAAAATCAAAATCCTACGATACTCGTGAAATTTGCCTGGCTTACCTTGTATTTTCGAGAAGTATCGTTACGTAGCAGCGCTTTATCTGTTTGCGAGGGAAATGTGGCCAATTCAATTAAGGGGCTGTTTACATGAGTCCGGTTACCCGAGATTCAACGAAGCATGAGATGATTTTCAGGTATTAAAATGTGCAGATAACATGATCCTGGCAGTCGTATAATCACCACAACAATAGCATGTACTTGTTTGGTATGATAAAGACTTATTTCAATACCTTAAAGTCCTCTCACGCTTCGTTGAATCTCGGGTAACCGGGCTCATGTAAACAGCCCCTAAGGCCGTCTGCATTACCAGAGATTAGCGACAAATTGGCTGTCGCTTGTGCACCAATTTGCATTTCATTGTTATACAATGGCCTTCGAGTTTTACTTTTTCCTCGCCTCCGGCACTTTTAGCTATAGTCGTGAGTGTCGTGAACATGACAAGGCGGCTGATTTCTACGTGAGTGCAGTCAACAATGACCGATTTGAATACAGAAATAAAGACAAACTTACAACCGGACGTAAAATCGTCGGAACCACAAGTTCCAATGTGCACTTCTTGCCGACCTCTACAGCAGCTGTTTAGGAACGTTTTTTTAACCGAATATTTTCGCAGCTGTTTAGGAGCGTTATTGTAACCAAATATTTTCAGACGTATACCATATCAATATCTACTAGTTTAGATGCCAAGTTAAGCATTGTTTTCGGTTAAGGCTGCTTTCCACTTATGCGTTTTTCTTTACGCACGTACACGTACGGAAAATTTAAAATGCGTCACGGTCGCATGGGCACATTTTCAAAAGCCGCTTCGCTCGCGCGGCTGAAGCGGACGGTAATGGAAATCGCCTTTAAACTTTCACGTTCGTGTACGTACGTGTGTAAAAAACGCGACAGTGCAATTATTTAAGAAGAAATCAAATTTGTTAATCCTGTCCTTTTTCTATTTTCAATCGGCTTTGTATCTCTTTGACGCAAGACTGTAATTTAAAGCAAGATGGCAGGTTTATGCCACCAATACACTGTTTGAGTGAAATTTTATTGAATCATTTGTGCAATGTTTATACATGTACAGGTTATTCCAATATAATATTTCAGTTCGGAGTTGCTATGCAATTATGGCCTCAGCATGTGTCGCTCATTTGGAAACTAATGCATTATGCATCTATATATAGTATGTATATTAGCGTCTCCTTTGCTAACTTTGTCACGAACAACTCGTTTTTACCGATGAGAAATTGTCCGGATGTAAATTTGTCTCTTTATTACTGCATATGCACAAACAGAAATATTGTAATACATCTTCCACCCTGACATGTCGCCTGACGCTCACTACTAAATGGAAGCCATGCATAAAATTAGTTTTGCACCAGCGATGCTTTTAGTATTTAGTATAATACAATTTAGTATAATTTCGTAATGGAGTAATTTGTTCCAGATAGTTCCAGTGGACGGTTTTGAAGCAAAAGAAAAATGTCGCTTCGCGCAAAAAATATCGCCAGTGGAAAACCGGCTTAATAATGCATGCATGCATGTGACATCAATATTGTTGCCTGGAGTCTCATTGTCTACTTTGTAAAAAAAACTTTCAAACTTATTCGAACAGATGTGAGGGGGAATGCATGGGGGGTCTTTATTTTTCTAGCAAGACATTTGCTTGAGGGCAAAGGTAGTTGAGTTACCTAATCCGGTTCGGTTTTGAAATAATTTTAAAGGATTCTGTTATACATACATACAATTTTTCAGTTAACGCTGAATGTTTTGTTTCAAATGCATTTATTCAGGCAAAGAACGTGCCACCTTGTTGCGTAGTAACACATCACCGAACTAGGTTATTGGGGTGCTATTCAATTGTCTTCTATTTAAGTTTCTAAGTCAAACACGTAGTTCAAGCAAATGTGCCGTAAAATGAGCAATATTTATATGGTTGTTACATTATCTTCGTTGCAATGCATTGCATTAAAACATCGTTTTAAAACTAGGCTTATCTTAAAGTGCTTTAAAATCTTAATTTGTTTTTTGTTCGATTTGTTTAATTTGCGTTTTGTTTTAAATTCGTTGGTTTTTCTTATTAAATTTTATATTGCCGTTGACATGTGGGCTTTCTTTTTCTGTTTTCGTTTGCATTGGAGTTGCTGGTGTTCATCATTCCGCGGTATCTCCTATTTTAATCACACGATTTTCTCTGCGATTTTTGCACTTCATGTAAGCGAAAGTAATAATCTGAAATATCAACTCCAATATTTCACCACAAGTCAGAGCTGAGATGCCAATCCACAAACCAAGTTGACCTCCTATGTCAGCTAGAAGATTTGTTGTCTAAAAAATGCGACAAAATGAATGTCCTTCATTTACCGTGTAGAACGTATATCTCTTACACTATTCCTGCGAAATCCAATGCTTGTTGGAATAGCATTATAGTACATATAGATTAGCTTATTCATTGGATTAGCATTATAGTACATATAGATTAGCTTATTAATTGATTATACTAATAGTACGTATAGATTAGATTACTGGATTAGCATTTTAAAACGTATAGATTATCTTATTGGATTACCCTCATATGGTACGTACAGATTAGCTTATTGGATTAGCTTTATAGTACGTATAGATTGTCTTATTGAATTAGCCTTATAGTACGCTGATTCGTAGACCAACATGCACATATTTAAACCCTTACTCGACTTACTCCGTACGAAAACGTTTCTTCAATGACTTGGTAATTCAACTGACTGTAGAATATGTTCAGCAACAGCACGCTGCTATAGTAATGGAAGTTTAAATCAAAATGTCATCAACATTTTAATGACTGAATCAAGTAACAAATTTGACTTATGAGTAGAGACTAATGTTGTACCTCCTATTGGGCGCAGTCGCATCGTTCGATCTCAAAAAATTCTACAATGGCAAGAGATTGAATGTATTTAATGAAGGAAACATTAAGTGATTTAGCTTGTAAGTATTTGATACTGCAAAGCTTTTGGTCCGTTAACCCGGGCCGGGTCCGAGTCAACCTCGTACCAGTGTCTTTACCCTGCATGGGTACGAGGCTGGCTCCGAGTATTAAATACTTACGTGGTGTAACTACAAGCTATATTACTTATTGATGCCACCACGCAAACATACAAGAATATTATTGAAGGAAACATTGTCAGCCTGAAATGATCGTATTTTTTTTCGCGCACTATCCCCCATTTTCCGCAGTTGAGAATATATTCAATTATTTTCCGGTAGCCACATGCAACTATATCTATTTAACAACTATTCGTATAGTATAGCAATTTTTAGTATAATTACCATGGTGATTTTTTGAAAAGATGAAACTCTTGTAGAAAATATATGTTTTACAAACGTAAACAAATATCTCGACAGTTTTACGGCGATTCAAATTAAACAATTTTTTCGCAAAATAAAGTTAAAAAGAGTTCTACAATTTTTTTACCTTGAAAATAATTTTTTGTCTAATGTTTTTACTTCTTTTTTGCTCTCAGTTACGGTGTTTTCCTCAATATAACGTATTTATTTATCTGTTACTTTGACAGAAACAACTCGCCGCCATTTTGAAAGATTTCCTTAGGTGATTATTGCAATAAGGGCGAGAATTTTCATTAAGTACCTTGGTAATTATACTAAATACTATTAACAATCGACGTCGTCAACAACGATATTTATTATTTTCTGTCCAATGTACATCTGTTGTTAAATCTTTTGGTTAGAAGAGGTGGACAGACGCTTCAAGCGAAGGAAGTTTTGAACATGTGAATGGCAGGTCATTTTTTATAGGCAATGTAATTTCGATGCTGTGAATCAGTTACACTCGTAATAAGGGCGGTATGGCTGATGTAATGCGACAAAATTTTCCCTGAAATTAACTGCAGTTAATTCGAAAGCAAGGAGAACGTGAGAGGGAGCCAGCGTGTTAAAATCAACAGTATATCATATTTTGGAAATGTAGCGGTCCAAATCTAGACAATTTTAAATCCTTAATCCTTATTGCAAGTAAGCCTCCAACACGACAAATTTGGAGTACTGCAACGAGAATTTTGTTGGGAAGTTAGATTTTCAGAAACATTTACATACCATATGCGCACTAGATATAAATGTCTTCCCTGAAAATTTCAAACAATCAACAATCAAGTTCACAAATAACATTCCCGTCATAAAAACATTTCTCATTCATTTCACGAAACTATAAAATTTATTCAGAAGAGGGAATTTTATTCAATTCTTCAGAAAAGAAAGTAAACAAGTATCTGTCTTTTATATTTACAAAATATTTTTAAATGAAGTAAATTCCTCTGAAGGCTAAAATATACGCGATGGTAGTTCTAAACATACCTGCATGGTCGCTTGCATCTCTGGATGCATGGTAATTGATCTTTGCTGAAAAGATACTTCACTCTCTGCAAACACTGCCCTAAAAACAAAAAAAATAGTAGCGGTCTCGTGGATATCAAAATTGTTTCCCCTTGGTCATACCCACGTATACGGTACTAGTTAACTCTCGGGTATTTTATATTTTACTGGGTAGCGCCGCTTCCATTTATTTTTCTCACACAAAACGAATGAAAATAACGCTATTCGAAGGAAAAGACGTGTCAAGCAATATTTTGTGTTGGTCGTGTAGCTGAATAGAACTTAGAAACATCGTTTAAAATTCTTGAAACCGACACGGTGTCCTCATGGCGCACATTCATGCAAGTTATGGGAAGAAGGCACATACAATAAACTTGGCATTTGCTATATAATCTCTTACTGCTGTCCAACAGTTGCCTGTTGCATGGCGTCAAAAAAACCCCAAATCAAAATCCAATCAAAATTCCAAATCCAGATTTCGAATCTAATCAAATTTTAAAGATTATACATCAAATCTTACTATTTGACTTCATGAAAAGGTCGCATGGTTTGTCTGTTGGATAGGCGGCTTCTGCGCATTTACACATGGCCAGTTGACTTTCTCCCAAACAAGAATTCAGACATGCCTGTTATAGAGAGGCAGAAGAAATTATGATAAAGGAAAATTTTAAGGGGTTATACGGAAGCAGCATCGAAAACAGCAGGAACAGCGAAGTTAGCATTATTGTTAAGATATATACCATTTTAAATGATAACTTATTTTATGAATAGTCCTTTCCCCTTTTTGCTTTCAAGCGCCCAATGCGTGACGATAGTTGATTATCAAGGTCAATTTGAGTTGTGATTTCGCCATGTTCAGGAGAGATTTAGTTTAACAAAGGAGCAAAAAGAATCTCGGCAATGTTTTTTTACAAACAAAATCGCTTCTATCAGCAGAGCGATATTGCAACTCAAAGTTGCTTGATAATCAACTATCGTCACGCATTGCGTGCTGGAAAGCTAAAAGGGGAAATGTCTATTGTTATTAGCTAGCTTTTGTCGCAAGAAATGTTAGAAATCCTCGACGTTATTAAATAATAATTTATAAGTTATTTACCGGTCGTGAGACCCGGATGAGATCCGTGCCGCATACATTTAATACATATGGCGTACCGTTAGAAATATTTTGGGATTTTCAAATTAGGTTGCCTTTCCTTAATAAGAGATCGACGGTACTTAACAGACCTGCAAAGAGTAGCGTGTAACATTTTTGTTTTTTCTGTACAAGTTGTCTTGAGATAGTGGAACACTTTCATCCAAACAGCTTCCATCGCTGAACCTGTCCAATCTTTTCATCATTGTCTGCAATCAGACACAGAACAAACAAATAAGAAAATATTTATTTTAGATTATCATTTGAAACATATTTCTAGTAAATTTAATCTTATTTTCCGTCCCTCCTTACAAATACTTTGATCAAACGAAAAAAAATGTCCGCCACCTTGTAAAACAACATGTACAGTAATTCCAGTGAACTCAGAAAATGCTTAAACATCAGAAAATGCTTAAAATAAATGGGTCATAGGTCTCTCCTATGTTTGGCTAAAGAATCTTTTTGTATTGTATTAATGTGCCTGAGAATATCTTTATGATTGCGGTATAAACTATATTGTCGTTATTATATTAAAAACAATGTATATTTTATTTTTCTGATATATTAGTTTTTCAACTGATCCAAAAAAGCGTAAATTGACGTCATCTCCTCGAAGATATATGACAACTATAACACAGATAATTTTATACATTGCCCGGCTAATAGTTTCGAAAAATACACAACTTCAAAGTATTTCGGAATCGTTAGATTTTAAATGATTTTAGTATCTTCGTATAATTTCAATACTCACTCTTGATAGGCCAACCGAGGTCGCCATACCTGGGGCGACACTAAATCCTTCTTCAAAAGGAAAATGCATAACTCCTTGTTCATGCAACACAACCCGCACACCTGCCTCATGCGATAGTTCACCAATGTATTCATTCTCTTCGATGTCAAGTTCAAGCACTAGCCCTGTGTGTGAATAAAAGAGTAGTACAACTCAGTATTTCATACGAAACCTGCAGACTCGTATTGCAGTTTGGGACATTAATATAGGAGCTCATAATATTGCGGTCAAGGCTTTTTCAGATATGACAGATCACCTCGTTACTAGGCCTTCAACTCGTACGCGGCCACAATATCCAATATGGCGACTAGACGAAAGGAGTGTAATCTTATGCAGTTTGTCTTTGAAAGTGTAAGAAATATTTTTAACTAAACACGAAGAAACACATGTATAAATTAACACTCATTATGTTTGGTCGCCATATTGGATATTGTAACACGGTGCTCTGACGTATCTGAAATAGACGAAAGCTTCCGAGCACTGCGACATGTCCCTTGGGTTGGGTTGGGTTGGGTTGGGTTGGGTACTTGGGTACTTGGGTACTTGGGTACTCGGGTTGGGTTAGGTTGGGTTGGGCTGGACTGGGCTGGGTTGGCTTGGGTTGGTATAAAATAGAACAGTTTTTAACGAACAGAAAGGTCTACATAATTTTATTGTATAAATGTTTTAATCTACTAGCCTATCTACTTTTATAAATTATGCATTTTATATACTTTTTATTAGTTTGTAACACTATTCTGTGCTACCCTCATTAAATAAAGAGGTTATTTACTTACATACTTACGTGTAGATGTTATTTAAATCGCCTATCATTTGTAAAGGTTACCAAGGAAATATGTAATCACTAATGTGTTGTTTTATTAGATGTTTAGTGAATATAACAAACTCATCGTCAGAAATCTTGGACATTGAGTTTTATCAAGAAAGTCAACTTGGAACAACTTCGTGCAGCATTTCAATAAAAATTTGCCGAATTTCGACAGGAGGTAAGATTGAACTACACGATATTGTCGTTACTAATTTAAAAAATTGTATCCGTATTGTGTAATCTGCTCTCAATCCTGCGATATTTACACGCCCTATTAGAGAAAAGGTTGCTGGAATAGTTTCATGAATAGAGTTGAAAACCATTGTTAAAAATTGCGCTTAAGTTCATTTTAAAAATTTCTTCAGTTTTTACAGTCCAAAATCACTAAAATATTAGTAACGCTAGACAGTTGCTACACCACTACATACATGTATTGCAATAATGCGACATTCGCTTTCTGAATAACGTTTGTACCTTGAGATGGTCCCGGTTTAGATGATTTTAAAACCCGAGTTGGGTTATCTTTTTGATCTACGCCATTGTTAAAAGTGTAGCAGTTTCCGTATCTATAATTCCAACTTGATGTCCAAAACTTGCTTAGATTTCTACAAAGAGATCAATTAATTAAATGCTGAGCTGCTTTTATTAATAAATTTCCGAATTTTCAGAATTTAAACGATACAAACGTCATCACAATGCATTGTTAAATCTTTGTAATTGTAATATTCTATCCCTTGCTTTCCTAACGAGCAAACTACAGTAATTTTGTTAAAAAGGGAAGTGTTAACCGACTTGTAACTAAAATCTGCAAGAATGGTAGCTAAAATCTGCAAGGAATCGTATTTTTATATACCAAAGAGGGGTATTTGATTCTTTGAATACAGAGAATAGAAACTTAGTTACCCTGTTGTTGCACAGTCGACACCCTTCCACGTACAGCCTTTTATTAAATCAGCGTCATAATGTCCAAGCGAAAATAGAGTCTTTGGATCCTCTGCTCCGATATATGACTCGATCTTCAATCTCAGTTTAGCTTCGGGGCTTAAATCACTATCGTCTGGGTATTCATCTGCAATGTCGCTATAGGAGGTGTCCGTATAATCGTAATTCCTTTAAATAAATGAATAAGTCAGAATTAAGCGCAAACCTGATGTCTTGAGGGTAGCGCACACAGAAAACCAAAGCCTATTACTGGCCACATATTTTGTAGGTGAACATCAATCGTGTAATAGCTTTTGTTTTCGTAGTGCTAAAGCAGAAATTTTGTTAATATAATATAGATGGTTCGAAGACGGATTAAAATGCGCTCTTCCTTCCATTTCTATAAAATCTTTTTGCTTAGTTTTTGTGAAAAAATCGTTCCCATCTAACCGAGAGATGTGGTTTGGATTAGCTGCCTGTCCTTGGCTTCGACAACATGTTAATCAGAAGATTTAACTTTATCAGAAGATTTTTTCATTTTGCGTAACAATAGCAACATTATACAAGTATTGTTTTGCTTGCATTTATTAGTTCATTAACTTGCTAAACGAGGACCTTGTTCCATTAACTATATGCGTGCATCATCAACCGCCCAGATGTCCGCTAAATAGACGACAGATGGAAGAATTTACTGGTCAAATTGAAATTTAAATATTTACCAAGCATCTCCATAGGCTGTTGTGCTATCAGAATATTCATTTTTGGGATCTTTATTTTCCCCGCTAGAAGATGGTGTATGTACTTCCCGCTTTTTCCTTCGTTTACCTGTTAGTTAAACGTTTTGGTAAATACTTGCAATGGTTTTATACTGGATGAGACAACAACAGGTTTAATTATATACTTTCTTTAATCAGGGGCAAATACTGCAATTTCATTAGTTAAGAGGGGCAAAATTTAATGTATTAAACTTCAACAAACTGTGTTTTAGTATTTTTCCTGAAAACAAGTTGATTACAGAAGGCATATAACTAATAAGTAATAGAACGAGTTAAGTCGTGCAATTAATAGCAAATCATACTCGCGCGATGAACAAATCAACCTCCCCATATACGCGGTCGGTTAATTTTGTAATCACTCGTACGATTTAGCCATTAATAGCACGACTGTTCGTTCTATTACCATTATTAATTAAAATCACGATTTCCGTCACCAGTGAAAAATTTAAGATACTTTAACGACCGTTTACACTTGCATTTTTTGCTGCGATTTTATGTGCGATTTTCTTTCTTTGGTAGATTTGAACGAGTGAATTAGTTACGGATGTTGAAATTGGAGCTCGTACACATCAGAGCATTCGTAGCTAATTACTCGTTCACATCTATCAAAGGAAGAAAATCGCACATAAAATCGCAAGTGTAAAGGGCCCTTTAGTAGTGAGATCACTTAGTTTCAAAACATAATTCACAGATTTTCAGCCGATTCGAATTCCAGGCAGAGCTTGAGGCGAGTTATTACTTAAAATATTTGTTTTCCGATAGTTACTTAATGCCATTCAGAATGAGACTTGCAAAAATTTCAATGCAAAGATGAAATTGAAAGATAACTTTACACTTACGACTAACAGTAGAACTCATAGCTGCACTCGGTTGTTGGGTAGCACTAGCACTATTAACTTCAGTCGGTTGGCTGGTAACATTTACAATTGTTACAATACGTCGTGAGTGTTATAAGAGTTTCACTTGGACTCTGAGTAGCGCTAACGTTGGTAACATTTACAATTGGTTGCATTGGTGAGGTAACATTAACCACTACAGTCGGTTGTATGCTGCTATTAAGAGTCCCACTTTTACCAGCGTTAACAATTCCAGGACCAGCGAAGCCTCCAGGCAGCTGGGTTGAATTGCTTGAGAAATTTCCCCTCGAGGTTCCGTTGACAGCGGCCCCACTGTATAAATAGTCGTAAGCGAACTTTTCTACCAACTCATCGGGCAGCTTATTCATCTGGCTCGCCTTTATCAGGTTCAAATTACAAATCGTGACGGCAGGAAATTTCAGTTGCTGGAATTATGTAAAAGAGAATCTCGTTATAGAGGCTCTGGTTAAGCCTATTTCTGGAATACATCACATTGTAGGTGGAAAGTAACAAAAAAATATTCAAAATGGCTAAGCTATTCGGCGAATTTTCGTTCCATAAGAGAACCATGCAGGCTTAATTGCTGCAACAATTTCTCTAGCCTAGTAGGTCTAAATTACAGGCTTTGGTATTGCCTACTGTACATAGGTGGATAGATTTTTTTTGCATTATTGGCCCATTTGGACATTTAACTTTACTTATTGCATACGGTATATTGACTGTTGTTAAATTACGTGCCGTTTTTTGAGTATTTGCATGGTGATGTCATGATTTGAAACTTGGTCTGAACGCTATCACATGCTGAAATGTTTTTCGGTTACCGCATACTAACAACCAGGTCAGTTGGAAAAGCTCCTTGCTTTTTTCTTCGTAAAAACCCTACCTTCTCAAATGTAACTGTTACAGATGTCTGTACAGGTCGTGACAGAAACAATTTAAACAGTTCCGATACTTCGAAGACGAACATTCCAAATGCGCCCAAAACAGCAACGACCCAGAATATTCTCCAAGCAATTGACGTTGCAGCAACGAGCCTTGCAAACCCATGTCCGGTTGTATAACCCATGAAATCGACCAAAATTTCACGAAGTGATCTTTGCTTTGCCATCTCTTTCTCTGAGCTCATAATGTTGCTTGTGCTATCCATACACAGTGGCGGATCTAAGGGTGTGCAGAATAAATTACACAGCTTAATTTTAAATTCAAAATAGCTTTATTAATAACAACGCTATTGGTTATAGATTTGATAAGAATATTTTTACATTAAAATCTGCGAATGCGATTCCGATTTTAAGCTGTAGTAATTTATTCTGCGCACCCCTAGATCCGCGACTGTCCATACAGTATCTGACGACAATAATAAAAATATATAAATCTTGATCGCTTGTCATTGAGGCATTGCCAATTAAGTTTGCGTTTTCACTCAGTTTGCCTCCTGGGGCCAGTTGTATATAAATACTAGATGTTATTTTGAATAATATACTTTTATTCTTCCGAAATCTCCCGAGCATTACATTTTCTAACTAGCGAGGTCTTACATTTCTTTGTACAAGTAGAGCAACGGAACCAGAAAGTTAAAATAGCAATTTATTATATAACATTTTGTTTTCAGATCGTAAGTTCGCTTCATTTACAACCCACTAAAAAGGGACTATTTTATTTCTCCGGTGGTTTTTGTTTGGTTTTGGTGGCAGAGTTGGCTAGGCAAGCCGCAGTCAATCAGCGTGCGCCAGAAAGCGAGGGGGTTTAACTCGCGTAATTTGGGTACATAATTTTGTAATTTTTGTACCATTATTGAGAATAATTTTTGTGGTAAACACTATATTAGAGGTACGAATGATATTACAATAAAAAATTTGTAAGTCCGGTGTTATAAATTGTCTAAGATAACGGTGTCTGATTAAGCATTCCGCGATTGGCCCCTTCACCAAAATATACTGTAAACTATTAAAATATACTGTAAACTATGATTTATCAACATAACTGCATACAATGAGATTATGAGACGATTTCAAATCAAATCGAAACTGTTTTAGCTGTAGTAAGTTGACTAAGTTCTGTTTAAAAAGGTATTTTCAAATTGTTTATGAGCTTGACCTTCGAAGTTTGTTTTGAACTTCGAACATTCGAAACATAATTGCGAACTTCGCAACGAACTTCGCAACCGCGCTTTGAAAGTTATATGAAATCGACAATAACTGTTGTTAAGGAATTGGCCATCAGGTTCGTAGTGTGTTTCTGAATTAACTAGGATTTAACAACTCGCTTCGCGAATTCAAATATTACATCGGGAAACAATGTATTAACTGAGTTTTGTTTTGTAGTTACGCTCCTGGTGTTCTATCAGATTTTTGCTTGGAAACTCCTGCCTCAGTTTTGTAAACAGTTTTCATACCTTTCCTTAAGTTTTACGTTCTTTCTTTCGTGGGATTTTGCAGCATTCGTACCGACTATGTATTCCGTGTGCCGGCTTTCAAATACCAGCTGCTGTGTATATAATAAGCATTGATGTTTGGCAAGTTAAAAAGAAACATTTTTCTGGTACCCGTATTTTGTGGTTCTTTAATGTATCGTTAATTATTATCGGTCGGCAAACGTAACGGAGGTTGTCCTTTGAAAATACAAACTCTGTTTTAAATTCTAACTTGAAAATGAAAACTTTTTTAAAATATGATAGGTTATCGCTAATTTGGACTCGTCAACTTAAAAATTCTGACTTTTTAAAGATACCTGAGATTACAGCTGACAACATATCTTGCCCAAAGGATAAATTGTCGCGTGCACAGTTTTCTGCAAACAAACTGTCGACAAGTTGTGTTTAATTGTCCCAAGCTGTTGACAACAAGTTTGGTACAAACATGATCTAAATATATTCGCTACAATCTTGTGTTACTAAGTTTCAAGCTACGTTGTTATATCATAGCTCAGTATCATACTTGTTGTCGACATACTTGTATACAATAATATTCCTTTAGGCGGCCAAAATGAATCATATATTGAATTGAAATAATGTATTTCGTTATGAATTTAGCGGTGAAATTGCATTTCTCGAACCCTTAACTTGTTTAGTGTATTCGTGGCTAGAATAATCCCCAAAAGACAATAACAAATTTACGCTCTTGAACTATTTCTATACATGACTGATGACACATATTTAAAAAATGCATATTTTATAGCACAACCAAAAAGCAGCGTCTTCTATCAGTAAGTAAGCTGAGTAAGCCTGATCTACTGCTCCTCATTGATGAGGGCCATGAAATCGAAAGCTTAAAATGTTTTTGTCTATTTTAAACAGTTTTTATACCACATTTAATGTGAAGTTATTTGGTAGTATATTTATAGCAGAAGAATTGAGGGTATTTCATTCTAGTGGATGTACTGATGTTAAAAAAAACAACAATTCATAATTCTCCTTCCAATGTAAGCAACCGCTATGATGCTATAAGATGCTATAGTTTGGCTTATATCCTGTCATATAGTAAAATATTCAGTTCTCTCTTCCGTTCTTGTTTGTGCGTTGGTGTTCATTCGTCATTCCGCGTAGCCTCCGATTTTAATCACCCGAGTTTCATTTCGTTTTTTAAACTTCATGTAAAAAAATGTAAGAATCTGAAATATCAACTCTAATACTTCGCCACAAGTCAGAGCTGAGATGCCAATCCACAAACCAAGTTGACCTCCGATGTCAGCCAGAAGATTTGTGGTCTATAAAAATGCGCAAGAATTATATACTGAACAAGATTCTTTCAAAAACCGCCTAAATATTCGACTATTATCATTAATATTATTGTCAAAAATAATGTAATTATTATTCAAGGCAGTTTTATCAGCTTCGCTTTTTTGGGTCGCTAGAATTTCTTCTTTCTTGGCAGTAAAAAAGATTTAACGGGAAATCTTTTATGCGGCTTTTTTATTGAGAATATTTTTTTAAAATTATTATAAAATTCTGTAAAAATCCATGTGTCCAAGTGGAATGGTGTGGCCTGGTGACCTTAAAATCTAATTTAACAAATTTTAGAAGGGCGGCCTTTAGGCCAAGGCCAATATTAAAATCTTGAACGCGTTTTGTATTCGACTAACTTGTTCAATTCCTTACCCCGTACGAATATGATTCTTCAATGACATGATAATTCAACTGACTGTAGAATACATTCAACTGGAGTACACTACTACAATAATAGAAATTCAAATTCCAGTAATTATTATGAATATTGTCAATGAATAAATCAAACTCATTAATAATGCATAAGCATTTTAGCCAATGAAATTAACCCTAAGAAGTCATATGTGGTGGCTTTATGCGTGTGAAGTACCACGAAGGATAGCGCCTTGTATAATTTGTCACGTTCCTTATTATTCTTTACAAGTCATAATGTTTCATCCTAATTGGTTGTACACATGGAGCAAATTTATTGGTCGACAGCAATACGGCGTATTTGAAATAATTTAAAACACTTGAACTCGCGTTTTAGATATGATAAAACGCTCCTTTGCGTGCTTTGAATACTACTTCATGTAAAATTTAACAGATGCCTTGAAGCCATCAGCTCATCCAATATGTGTGTTGTTATCGTGACCCGACGCTGTACCTTCTATTAGGCATGGGCGATCCGCTTTTTTCCAAAAATGTCTAAAACAGTGAAAAATTATATGTATTTAGTTGCGAAGACATTGCCAGCCACAGTCCAATGGGTATGCACTTTTTTACATGATAACAAAAATGCAGCAATCACAACGACGTTGACGTCGCCGCATGTCTGCAAGGTCAACTTGTTGGAAGATCAACCTTTCACAATAAATATACATACCATGTGTGCGGTTGATGGCCACTGTGATATACTTATTGTCTTTTCATAAACGTCTTCTCTAAATATATCATTTAAAACATCAATCAATTCGACAATTTTTAATAGTCTGATTAGTCCAAGATCATGAATAAATTTTCCGAATTAGCTTGTGAACGAAATTGTAAAAGTTTTTCCATACTGAGTAAAGAAAAACTTGCCTGCATGGGCGCTTGCATTTCTTGATGCACGATAATTGATCTTTACTGAAAAAGATATTTCACTTAAGCAAACAGTTTCCTAAACAAACAAATTAGTATATTATTTACAAGATTTAAAATCCTAAAAATTAAAACATAATAAATCTTACTTTCTCTTGGATTGAAAAGGTCGCATGGTTTGCCTGTTGGATAGGAGACGTCTGCGCATTTACACATGGCTAGTTGACTTACTCCCAAACAAGAGTTCAGACATGCCTGTTTATGGGAATGCATATAGAGAAAGTTTTGATAGAAGAAATGCTTGAGTGCTTACGACAGAAACGCTGGGTAACGATGGCCCAATAAAATTAGCATTGATTGCGTAATGTCAAAAAGTTTCAAATTTTTAAAATAATCAATGATATTTGCATTTGGATCAAGATTGAGTATTTCGAAAACAATTAAAGCAAGTTGCTAAATTCTATAAAGCAATGCTAATATTAAATTAGGTAATTTTTTATATCACAGGTGACCATTTGAATAAAGAGATTCATCGTAAATAAATGTTCGAGTGTTCTTTCAAACCTGCATAGAGTAGCGTGTAATATTTTGTTTTCCCCTGTACAAGTTGTCTTTAGCTAGTTGAACACTTTTATCGAAACAACTTCCATCGTCGAACCTGTCCAATCTCTTCATCATTGTCTGCAATAATAATAAAAATATAGCATGTGCGTACTTTACTCCATAGAAACAATACTTTGTTCGTAGAAAAAACGTCCATTATCTTTTTTTGTAAATATGTTATCCCGTCGCTACCTTTGGAACCAAATTGAAGGACCATTTCTTTGTTTCTCAACTCGCAGTTGATCGCACTGATTTATCTGAACCTTCAAACTGGCTTCAAAGATATGAGATAAATCAGTTATCGTTCCAGTCTTTCTAATCTATAGAGTTCTCCGGTTACGGGGTCACGCAATGCTCTTTCTATACAACCGCAAACCTCAGTAATAAATGGATCGCTCTATGGCTATAACACCTTTTGCAAAGTCACCAAAAGTCTAGAACAAACTTCAAACAGAATGAAAGAACACGAAATATAAGACGAGGTACGGTGAAAGAAGTGGAAAAAAGATTTACGGTTTTTCAAGACGTTTATTTCCATACTTACTTTCGTTATTCCAACCGAGGTCGCCATACCTGGGGCGACACTAAATCCTTCTTCATAAGGAAAATGCATAACTCCTTGTTCATGCAACACAACCCGCACACCTGCCTCGTTTGAGAGTTCACCAATGTACTCATTCTCTTCAATGTCGAGTTGAAGAACTAAACCTGCGCGTAAATAGTTGAACACAAAGTTGGCAGACTCATTTGCAATTTGGCAAAAGGATATAGCTTGTCTAGAAAGCGCTTGTGTGATGGAGTGACCGCAGGCGCATGTAGTGATGCCGTCATTTTGTGGTTATGAAAAAAGTTACACTGGTTTTAATCTGGAAAACTCCGGTTGTATACATCGAAGTTTGGAAAGTAACCTTTTACATCAATATGTCGTGTGGTCGTTTGCTGATGTAGCAAAATTGGTACATTTATATATTATTTGAACGGAATAAAAACAATACCTTGGGACGGTCCTGGTTTAGATGATTGTAAAACCTCAATTGGGCTGTCTTCATAATCCACGCCATTGTTGAAGGTATAACAGTTGCCGTATTTATAATTCCAACTCGAAGTCCAAAGCTTGCTGAGATTTCTATAAACGGAGCAATTTATGAATGTGGCGAAAACTGGTTCCGAGTGTCACCGAGATTGACTGATAACATTAGAGATCCAAATGGTGATGAACAGTCCGTGATGTAAACAGACGCTAGCTTTGCAATTTGAATTGCTGTCATGTACTGCAAAAATATTGAACCTGAATAGTTTTCAATTTGCTCTTCACTTAATGAATATAAAACGAAGTTTATATTCAGAAAAGTTCAAACATGCAAATATGCGTTCAGCATCTATTTCATCTGAAATCGACACTATTACCCTTTTGCACAGTCAACGCCTTTCCACGTACAACTTTTTATCAAGTTTTCTTGTTGATGGCCATACGATATTAGACGGTCTGGATCCTCTCCTCCGATATATGATTCGACATTCATTTTTAGGATCATATCCGGGCTTGAATTTTCTACACCTAGGAAGTCTTTAAACACATCTGGAAAAATTTCCCCGAGTCCCAAATCATCGTCATCACTAGAGCTATAAGATAAAGTTAATAGATTAAACTTCTTAACTGAATGTGACAGCTGTACTGAAGAACATATTAAACTGAGGTCTTAACAATTGGGCAAATACCTCACGGAGGCCGGTGAAGAAGGGGACACTGACTCTTGATCAAAGTGTATTGCGGATTCGCTTCGATTAATTAGCCTCTGCCCACACCCCTCTCTGTGGTACATTTGAGTTTTTTTAAGGTATTGCATTTCATTCTGTCTGAAGATTACGTTAGATGAAGTCGAAAATTTGCATTATCAACCTGTGTTTGGCTTGCATGAATGATATATTCACTTTAAAGATGTCTTTTCTTTTCGGAATTTATTTTTTAATAATTTGTTTTTACGTTACTTTTACTGGATTAATCGAAATAAACTACTTACCCACGATCTTCGGGGGTCCTGTTATCTCCACCAGAGCCTCCACCTTCCTCGCCATCAGAAGGTGGGTTTTTTCTTCGTGCAGCTATTAAAGTGAAATTAATCAAAATTAATGAATCAAAATTAATTGCTATTCAATATTTAATCCTCAAAGACAGATTTTCAAGCCTTTGTTGACTTTTTCACTCTTGACTTTTTCGAAAAGCAAGTTGAAAATATTTTCTTAATCTGCGAATCTGCTCAAAGCCATTTTGTTTACGCTTTAAGAATATTTATTTTTGGCGGGCTTTCTGCAAATTGTCAACACTCAACCGCGCCAGGGCTTGGGAACTACAGCGTGGGATGACCGACCGAACTTCGCTCCAAAAAAGTGTTATTGTATCGATTTTGACGTCAGCACCTGAAACAACGGGCCAACTTCAAAATACCGAAAGTTATCCGAGCAAATTCGACCAATCAGGAACGAGAATAAAATTTGAAAATATAATAAAGTTATATATTTCTTACGTTCTGAAGTAGAATTGATGCCATCATCCGTTTCTTCGGTAACATTGTTAACAGCCCCGTCGAAATAATCACTTGTATTAAATCCGCTGCCCAAAGTTCCGTTCAAATCCCCAAAAAGGTTGTCCGTGAAGATGTCGAAGGGAGTACGGTTCTTGGTGATGTTGACCGTAAAAAATTTGTCTATCAAATGCATTGGCAACATCGTCATTTTGCTTTTCCTTATCACGTTCAAATTACAAATTGTGACGGCAGGAAATTTGAGTTGCTGTAATTTAATTAAGAAGAATATAAGGTGCCGAGGCTTGGATAAATGTGCCGGTGTTCATTTAGATAGCCAGGCCGTTGCTCGACCGCTTAATTTGGAGGAGAGGTGCATATTCGTGTATTCTTGTTTACATATCATAGAAACAATAAATGTTTTAAGCTGTGCAGTCATGAATGTTCAAAACTTTTCCACTGGTGTGTTTATATAGATAGATCTTATTTCCGAAAAATCTGATGTATAATAGGACTTGGCATCTGTTTCACGCCCACGGGCCGGTTGTTCAAAAGCCGGTTAACCCTAACCCGAAACTGTTAGTAAAACCTTTCAATAGTGTTTAATTCATTAAGAATTATACGTGTTACGTGTCTCCGCTCCTTATTCATCCATTTTGAATCGAAGTTAACCCAGGATTAAAAAGTTAACCCACCTAGCTAGCAGGGTTAATTTTTTTATCAATTTTAACCCAGGGTTAACGCTATCCGGGCTTTGAACAACACGTTTTTAACCCAGGTTTAAGGACCCAGATTTAGCCCTAACCCAGAGTTGAATTTACCCTGCTTTTGAACAACCGGCCCCAGTGGTGAACAACCACGCATACCTTCTCAAAGGTGACAGTTACAGACGTCTGTACAGGTCGTGATAGATAATGTCTGAACAGGTCAGATACTTGGAAGACAAACATTCCAGTTGCGCCCAAAACAGCAACGATCCAGAACATTCTCCAAGCAATTGACGTTGCAGCAACGTCTTTCTGCGGCAAATAACGACAAAATAATACTTGTAAATACGTGTAAAGAAATTCTACTTTGCAATGTTTTATTTTTCCACTTTTTGGTCGAACACATAATCCAATGTGTAATCACATCCTATATAGGATTGAATTCGTGTATTTAGTATTTACTGAACAAGGAATAATTACCAAATTTTCGCTCGGATGTTCTTGTGATAGATGTGGTAGATGTGAAAGATGCGAATATTTATAAATGCTGTGATTGCACTTGTGATGAACGGCCATCACGCTTATTCGACAGCTGTAACACTTTTAGTTATATCTGACCAAAGGGAGACATGAATAACATTATATTAAAATCGCAATGAAATTTTTTAATAGCTTTTATAAGGATAATTATTTTGAAGGTAATTACCATTAGTATTAAAGAAACGAATGATTTCACGACGAGATCTTTGTTATCTGGGGTTTCATTAGTGTTGTCGAGTAGCTA